TGTAGGGTGGGAAGGAGGAATCCCCTGCTATTTCTAGTTTATCTTCTAACTTCGTGAAGCCTTCAGATGCTTGGTCGAAAGAGCAAGGCCTGAGTTACAGCCAGGAAGAGCCAAAAATTAAGCACATTGTTAGATGTTGGGACTAGCGCTAGGAATGCACCAGGTGCTAACTACCACCGAGGCTCCTGTGTCCTAACTGCCTTTCCCATCAGTGCTGCCATCCTCTCACCTGAGGTTTGATCTTTGCACATCTTAGTCACCTAGGAAGGATTTGTACTCTAGCCTGTTCGAGATCCTTTAGCGCCAGTGTAGTTGGAGGTTGAGAACAAATTTTCTTATGGTGAAGGATAGGGAAGAAGGGACGTGAGTGACAGTCTGGGACTGGCACCTGCGAGGAGAGACAAGACAGTGGGACCTGCAGAAGCATTCCATCCACTCAGTCCCAAGGATGGCCTCTTTCAGTTTCCATACTAGGAGTCCTGTCCAAACCACTCCCCTCCTAACGGCTCCAGTCAATAAGCAAGTCCTGCTTGTGAATCTCCTAAGTGCACTGCTCTGTGAAGAATCTAGAAATTTATAGATGCAATTATTATATTTGTATTGGCCCAGAGCATATAATCAAATATCAGGACATAATTAATATCTAAAATTATATCCTAAATATTCTGGAAAATCCAAGACTAATTCATGGGACGGTCTGAGGGTGGCACTGGGGAGCAAGTCAGATTATTAGATAGCTGACTTCAGAAGGTGGTGGCAGGTGATGATGCTGTGAGCCCAACACGAGCAGACAATGGACACAATGAAAGGTCAGAATAGGAAGAGGCCATATTGGCTGAGGTAATAGTGAAGCAGCATAAATGTCTGCTGCCTTCTGCTAACGGGACTTCATATTTCTATACTACTCCAGAGTTTCCCAAACACTTCCAAGTCATCTGATTTCATTCTCAGCAACCCATAGGCCAGATATTACTAAATGGGATAAATTAATAAAACATTTATAATAGTGTTTAGTGCATGGGTGTGTGCTCACTATTATTTTTAAAGTTATCACTACCCACCCCCGCTTTTGAGATGAGATCTTTCACTGTGTTGCCCAGGCTGACCTCAAAGTCCTGGGCTACCATCTCAGCCTCCTGATTTGCAGGGGCCACAGGATGTGCCACTGTGCCCAGCTTTAACCCTATTTTACGCATGAGGAAAATAAGACTCAGAGAAGCAGTTATTTGTGCAAAGTCACACAGCTGAGACTGGTAGTAGTAGGCTTGAATTTAGTTCCCTGGCTACTGGTTCTAGAGCTTATTCTACATTGTCCCACACATAAGCTCAGCTTGCCTGGGTTGGGCCAAGTTTTGAGATGGTATCTGCACAGAAGTTTCTGAAATCATGCTCCTCAGTGTCACAAGCCCTAGTTGGGAACTGCATAGGAAATGACGAAGGCATTCTCATCCTTGAGTAACAACAATTAAATCTAGAAGCCTCTACTCATTTTAGCAATAAGGGGAGAGATGGTACATTACATGGTCCATCAAGGAAACTACAAGCCATTAAACTTGCATAGGTCCTCAGCTGCTAGGCTTGTTAAGAAAATGTCACAATAGGGGGAAATTAACAACACAGGCACCACAGATATTTTTAGTCAGTGTTTCAAGGATGTCCATCTTGGGTTCTGTTTAGGATTGAGTACACTGAGATGAATTTTAGATTTATTTTATAAGACTGTCAATCAGAAAGTCAATATTGAGCAGCTACTCTGTTCTCATCTTATACAAGGGACTGTGCGGGAAAACTAAGGGAGGTGAAGTGCATTTCCCAAACTTTCAAACACTGATGAGAGTGGTATCATCTTTTTCTTAGGTGGGGAGGGCAGTTTGATAATGCATTAAAAACTATAATTATGTCTATTCCTTGTACCAGCAATTTCTCAGTAAATTATTTATCCTATGGATGTATTTTAAAACATAAACCAGGCCCTGGGGATATAGCTCAGTGGTAGCTTGCCTATCATGCACAAGGCCCTGGGATCAATCTCCAGTACCACAAAAGTAAACAAACAAACAGATCATTGTAACACTATTTTTAATGGCAAAACCAAGAATCTATGGACCTAATGTTTACCAATAAATATTGGCTAAATTACTGTGTGCCTTTTAAGTGGAATTTCATGCAGCTATTACAAAGAAGGTGGTCCATTGATGTGTGCTGAAAGCATATCACTAAGATACATGTTTAGTTTTCAATAATGAACATAAGAACTCTTGTGGCATGATCCCATATGTGCATATTTGAAGCATATATGCTTGCAGATATATCCACACTCCCACCCCCACCCATGCACCAGAGAGCTATGCCTATAATTAATAATGGGGACTATCTGTGATACAAGAATAATGGGAAAAGAGAACATTTAAAATTTTACCCTATTATATATAATTTTTGAAGATAAGTAAGTAGGTAGATTGATTGATTTAACCATATGTCACACCATTCTTTAACAATGTAAGCCTCTTGCCTAGGACAGGAAAGGGCATCTCCAAGAATCATTCACACCCTAGACTGACTCCCAAGCCCATCCTCTGGATCCCAGCACAGTCTGCTACTAGTGGTCTTTTAGTAACAGGAAAGACTTCTGTCATTTGCTAGCCAGTTCTAGAATTTTTCATGAAAATGCCTGGCATCAAAATATCCAAGGGCCAGAAGCTATGAGAACGTGCTCGTTCTCCAGAAGAGGGCTCTGTGCCCCTCTGCCTGCCATCTTGGCTCTTTTGCTCTAAGATTTTGGCTCAGCCAACAGGGGTCAGTGACCCTGGGCCAGGAAACACAAACTAAGATTTCCAACAGGACAAATTACCTTAAGGAAAAGGCATTAGGATAGCTGGGAGTGGGGGTGGAGGGGAGGCATGAAAACAGTTTTACTAGCCAACTTGGTCAATAGGCAGGTGCAGGAAGTGGCAGATAAACCCAGCCAGGATCTATAAATATACTTCAATATCAGTGTTCAAACCCACAAAATAAATGCGTGAATTAGAAAACTTGGCAGCATGTGAGCATCTAGCTGTAAGTCCTTAGTTCTAGGCTCAACTCCTGTGAACTTTTCTGTGACTTGGGCGTATTATTTAACTGCTCTGGGTTTCAGTCTCCCCAGCAATCAAATGGACAGTACTCTCTCTCCTGGCTTCTTCGCAGAGTTGTGTCAGTAAGTCAAGGAATGGGCTTTGAAAATGCAAGTCTTTATACAGAATGAGAAGTATTGTTAATGTCTCTGAGACTTATCTCACAGGAGAGCTATTTTGAGACAGGAAGATAGGAAGCATCAGAAAAGCATTGTGATAGCACCATAAACAGATCTCAACCCATGAAAGAAAGTGACCTTGTGGGTCATTTGCTTGGTTTCTTTTTCTAGTCCTCTTAGACCTATAGAGTCTAAGATCTGCAGAGCAGGGATTATGCCACGCATAGACGGAATAGTAGCCAAAGGGATGATGTGCTCCCAACCCCCTGTGTGAGGGGCTTGCTGGGCTGTGAATGTGGATCACAGTCCTGGAAGCAAGCTGATGTGAAGCTAAGTAAGGAATTGGGGCAGAGGTGGGAGGGATGGACCTCAGTGATCCAGCTAGAGGATGGCTGAGTGCCTCAGAGGAGCAATTTCAGGGTGGCCAGGGACTTGGATAGGACAAATGACAACTTCCTAGAACAGGCTGTTCCAGAATCCATAGAGAAAAGGAAACAGCCTGGCCTCGTCCTGGGTAGGTTGACAGGAACCAGGCTAGGAAGTATTTGTAGTGGGACGACTAGTGTTCACAACATCATTAAGTCCATTTTGAATGGGAGGAGGGAAATGGAAAAAAAAAATTCAGGGCAGCACACATGGCAAGTCAGTTTTCAAACTGTGGGAGAAAAGATGGAGAGAAGAAATGAGCAGAGGGAGGGAGCGCTGTGCTGTGTGGCAGGCACTGGGCTCCGAGTCCCATGGGCTTGGGTAAAATACCAGCTCTGTCACTGACTTGCTGAATAACTTTCACTGTGCCTTTTCCTCCTCCAAGTCTTGGTTTTCTTGATTTTAAGATGAAGACCTCTCTCCCATTTCATTACTTGTTATGAGAATTAAATGAAATGTTCTTGAAAATAACGAGCATGTAATTTCTAGAACACAATGCCCAATAAATTCCTTTATTATGGAAAGAGATTCCCAGAAAATTTCTAATGAAACATGCCAGTTGGAAATCGTAAATACTGGCAAAGCAAGCCTGACCTACCTGATGGATACCGTGTGAAAAGGCCCTTTGTACAGTGGAGAACCAGCCTAAATGGGCAAAGAAGATTTTATGGGGAGGGTGGGTTAGAGGCAAGATAAAACTGGATATAAATGGAGGCATCAATGAAGTCTGCTTAAGAGGGACCATTATGCCATTAATGTGTTAATTTGAGGTTCCCCTAGGACCATGACAATCTGGGAAGATACTGTAGACTGCATAACTTATGCTGTATTTCTTGACTACTCAGAAATACAGCATAAGTTTCATATTCATTCATAGTAGCTTTCCTCAGTCACCTCCTCTCCTTGTATAAGTGTGAAGAGATGAAGGGTTAATACCAATTTCTTCAAAAACTCTAAGTCCACAGATAAAAGCAGCTACAAAATCACAGTCAAAGGATCAGAAGATAAGGAAACCTCAGAATCGACTAGATCTAACATTGACCTGTCCTTACCAAGAATAACATTAAGCCAATTTTTATTTCTAGATTCTTGTAGCCAAATACCAGGGATATTATCATAAAATCTTGAAAGCTGAGAGTCAGAGTGCTTTGGGTTATTTTACAGGTGGATAATTTGAGGCCAAGTGAGAGTGGTTTGCTTGAGAGCTTATGACGACCAAGTAGAAAGGACAGTCTCATTCTGAGGTCCAGTCTGCCGTAGTCCTCTTCTTTGTGAGAGTAAACATCTGACTCCAGACACTTGCACAAAACTAATTTGTGTTTTTTTGTTTTTCTTTCTCCAGGGCCAAGTGCTTTCGGGGCAAAAAAGTCCTTGGGGATTATGATATCAAGGTGGAACAGGTAACCAGCCCAAAGTCCCAGATTGCATCTGTGACATCTCCATTCCCTTGGGCATCCTGGAGTGACCCCTCTAGTTCTGCCAAGTGGAGTACAGTATCTGCCATTGGGTTCTGGGCTCTCCATCTTCTCTCACCACCCTTTCCCCAGGGCTTTCCTCTCTCTGAAGCACAGTCCTGAAGGCTGCTCCTTTTTATATCTTTGACTTATTTTTATGGTTCCAGTGTCAGGATGGAGGCAACTAGTGTGGCTCTTAGAGCCACTTGCAGGCTGAGGAAGACCTTAGAGGAATGTCTTCCTAGGGTGTTGGCCATACCTCCATGTCCTTGGTGGCAGTATCTTCCTGGGTAGACACATGTGAGCCGTTCAGGTGTGCTGCCTCCAGTAATACTGACCCTGGGCCTACAGCCAACTTCAGAGGGAACTTAGAAAAGAGCACACCTTTGTTTTAATACAGGGAAGTCCAAAAAGGTACATTTTCACCTTCTAACCCTTGCTTCAAAATAAGTAGATGACCAAGTCCATTTGGGAAGAGGGGGATGTCCAGTTTAAACAATGAATATATTTTCTAGGTAATGATAGAATTCACTCCTCATTCATTGCGCGGTGTGTTATGGCTGCCAGAGAACTTTCTGCTATTGCATTCAGTTCTTAAAACACCTTGTCAGATAGGCCAGGTTGATAAAAATTATTTCCATTTTGTAGATGGAGGAAACTGAACCCCAGGCAAGACAAGTAACTCGCTTAACATGTTATGCAGCTAGTTGGGGGAAGAGCAGAACTAAATTCCAGTTACCTAAACTAACATCTAGTGCTTTTATGTTGAAACTGGAGAAAGGGGACATTTGTCCCGTTCATTCCTTCATTGTTAAGAGGCAGCACAAACGGTGCCAGGATGGGGGTCACAAGACCCCAGTTTTGTTCCTGTTTTTTTCCAGTGAGAAGTTTTGTTTGTCCATTTCCTCTTTTGGAATGATTTATGTCCCACCTGCCCCATAGAGTCACTATGAGAATTAGATGAAATTGGTATGTGAAAACTATAAGTCAGTGTTTGGTGGTGTGGCGGCGGCGGCTACTGCTATATGGAAGACTTGGCGGTCAGGACCGTGAACTTACTGCCCTACTGTTATTTTCCAGGCGGAATTTTCAGAGCTCAACTTGGTGGCTCATGCAGATGGGACCTACGCTGTGGATATGCAGGTGCTGAGGAATGGCACGAAGGTTGTTCGGTAAAAGCCTTTTTGTCCTCAGGGTCACTGTCACTGTCTCCATTATAGCTTGAAGAGGTGGTTTCAAAGTCCAGTGTTAGCATGAGACAGCCGTGCTGTGTGTGGTACAGAGAAGTAAAGGATGTGTGTGGCGTGGAAGGGACAGAGAGGGCAGTCCTCCTGCCTTTCAGAGTTCCCAGTCCCCTGGTAGAGAAAACACCCTGAAGCTTCAAGGACTCAGAGCTCACTTAGAGGTAACTGCTTCCTACTAGGCTCCTGCCCCGCCTTCAGTCAGTACATGCTGTACTCCCACCATAATTTCCCCTGGAAAACGAGGTCCCATAGCTTTTTTAAAAAGTTTGAAAACATCTAGTTCAACTTTCCATTTTATGTTGATTTGCTTTGTTTCACCCAGTCAGTTGGTGGCAAGCTCTGTGTTCTTTATGAGTTCTTTTGACTCTCAGCTCTGTGTTCTTTTTATATTTCTCATTCCTGGGAACTTGTGTCTCATAGAAAAACCTAAGATTGGAACAGACATTGTGGGTGGAAAAAAATTAGCAATTATTGAACACTTCCATGTCAGGTGATATGCTGGGTGCCTTAAAGATGGGAGATTTTCTTACACTTAATAGTTCTTTGACAGAGACAATGAGAATTCCAGATGGTGGGGAATGGTTTCTACAGTGTCGTTCCAGGAGTTCAGTGTGGTTTCAGGTTTTCAGAAATCAGTCTTGTTCTAGGAGGAGTCTGTAGCTCACCTTCTTTCCACCTCAGTCTGCTCAGACCCAATAGCACCTGGGTCAGTGACAGGAGAGGTCAGACTGGAGGTGTCTGGGACCTAACCACAGTGAGTGCATTCATTCTGGAGACTAAAGAGAAGACAGAAATGTCCACCCGAGTGAGAAGTGAGTTCAGTTTGATCCTACAACAGAGGATGGATGGGATCCTCCAAATGCAAGTAGTAGGTGTCATGGAGATACACACACAAGCAGGTAATGACAGAAAGGTCCAGGAGCAGGACAGCAGGAGGGAACTGGCAAGAATTAGGTAGGGTCCTTCCGAGTGCCAGTGTAGGAATTCAGGGACTGGCAGCACATCTAGCGCTCCATTCCTGTAACTGCAATATAGGGTTGGAGTTTGATCTCAGGCGTATAAGGCTTCCAGTGTCAGGATCTAGGTCAGTGACAGAAAGGCCTTGTAACAACAGGTCCCAGAACTGAGGACAAGGTCACAGCAGCCCAAGCAGATGTCATGCTGACTTGATGCTAAGTCCCTGAGAGACTGAGACCTCCTTCAACCCCCACTCCTAAGCCCTGATCTCTGAGTTTGGGTGGGGCTAAGTCTGTAGGTGGCGGTTGGATGAGTGCTTGGCAGAGAACCAGGTAGGTCATGCACACGGTGTGAAACTGCTGAGCCTTGGAGCCGTGGAGGTGGGTGCTGCCACACACCTTCTCTCTGAGAAGGTTTGTGAGGTGAGGGCATGAAGACAGGAGCCTTGTCCTGTGGAGAGCAGTGGCCAGGCACTTTGCTGGCTGGAGGTGAAATGGGAGCTTTCCCATGCATCAGAACATTCCGTTTTCTCAGTGCTTCCTGCAGCCATTGCTCAACCTCAGTTCTGCAAAAAGTATTTGTACCCCTCCCTAGCGTCCACTTTGGAAGAAGAATACCATTGGGAAGTTTGGCATCTGTTCTCAGCCAGCCTGGCCCCTTGCTCTCCTGGGGACCTGATGAGGGCATTGCCTATTTTAAGGAGCAGATTTAAGGACTCTGAACAGGACACTGAGGTCAGACCTCATGGCAGTGTGCTTTAGGCAGCCTTTTGTGTCATCTTCAGAGTCTTCCAGGACCCTCCTTGAGCACCAACTTTGGAAACACAAGGAGCTTCACTTAAGTTGTGAAGGTTTAAAAGTGTTTATTCCCTCCTGAAGCTATTTATGCTTAGTCCAAAGGAGTAAGAGAATTTCAGAAGTCCATTGCTCAAATCCCCTTTGAAAAGTACCATAACATTTCATTTCCCAGCCCAGGAAGGAATAATAATAATGAAATGAGGGTGACAGACTAGGTGGTCCCTAATACATCTTCTCTGACTTGGGCTTTGGAAATGGGAGACAAGGTGATGTGTAACGTGAGGTGCTGAGTAATGGAAAAACTGCCTCTGCGTTCTTACCAGGTCCTTCCGGCCAGACTTTGTGCTCATCCGGCAGCATGCGTTTGGCATGGCAGAGAACGAGGACTTCCGCCACTTGATCATTGGCATGCAGTATGCAGGCCTCCCCAGCATCAATTCTCTGGAATCCATTTACAACTTCTGTGACAAGCCATGGGTGGTGAGTGAGGCTTCCCTTCCTCTCAAGTAAAAGGGTGGGAGCTAGGCCCCAGTCTCCCAGTCTCCCAGGAGGGACCTTAGTACTCCACTGGTAGGCACCAGGTGAGAGGATATGAGAGGAGGAGCCCTAGCTGCGCCATGGGGCAGGACAGGTCCTCACAACAACATGTGACCACCTGTCACAGTTTGGGCACCTTTGCTGCAGAGTGAAACTTTGGCTTTTCAACCAAGTGGTACAGATATTCTGTGAAGGAGTCCTTACAGGTCTGTAGGCTCTGCCCCTGACAGTGGGTGGCAATGATAAAAATGCCTGTTTCTCGCCGTTTAGAATGGCTAGAGTAACTACTAGAGAGGCCTGAGCCCAGTGAGACCAAGGAAATGGTTCAGCTGAGAGAGGTATGAGTGACATAGTCCTATCAAGTGTCTCAACAACATTAGAGTGAGATTTATCTAGATACACATGGACCAGTCACATACATGAATTGTAAGGTATCCTTTGAGATCATCAGATCTGACCGCTTTACAGTAGGGATGTGAAAATTGAAGAAGGTAAAGAGTAATACCACTTACTATAAGGTGCCAACCTCTGAGATTTTCCTGTGTTAATATAATTTAATCCGGGTTGGGGTTGTGGCTCAGTGGTAGTGCGCTTCCCTGGCATGTGTGAGGCACTGGGTTTGATTCTCAGCACCACATACAAATAAATGAATAAAATAAAGGTTCATCAACATCTAAAAATTTTTTTTAAATATCATTTAATCCTCATGATAACCTTATAAAAAATCATCATCACCATTATTATTTTTTTTTACAGGAAAGCAAGACCCAGAAAATATTAAGTAACTTGCCAAAGTAATAGAGCCAGAATTTCTCTAGATCACACTGCCTCTCACATAGATTGGCTACTGAGGAAAAGATGGTCTGATTTTCTCTTCCTTAGTCAGTCTATAGATCTGGGAGAGAATTTGACACTTGTAAGCAGAAAAAGGAACGTGTGAGCTTGACAGGGAGAGTGACCTGTGATTGCTCCTGGGGCACTCTGGCCTCCACTCTGACACTGAGAGGACCCAGCTCCTCTGCTTATAGCTCTGCTGCGCCAGGCTGGCCATCTCTGAAAGAAATGCCTGCTCCCATCACATCTTCTTCATCTTCATGTTTTGCAAAAATGAGATTTCAGCCATCACACACATGACCGCCAAGAGCTGGAGTCTAGGGAGGGTGGTTGACCAAACAGATCCATCTCCCTGCTCTGGATTTCTTTTCACACCTGAACTGACAGCTTTCCTGTGGCCCTGGACGCCATCCTGGGCCTTACGATGTAAGAGGAAGAGCAGTGAGCAGGAGTGAGGAGGCCTAGGAGCCACTGTGGTGAAGGAGCGGGTTGGGTTCCTGAGTCCAGTTTCCCTGTGAGTGGCCTGAGGCATCTGCAACCCTAGAGTTCTGCAGAAACAGGCTAAAGGGGTTTGATCTGAGTATGTCATCCATCCCAGAAGAGCATGAAGGAGGCCTTCACCTTGTGTCATCTGGCCTTCCTCCTGTACTTTTATGCCCTAACCCACCCACCCCCGGCACCCCCAGGACTCTACCATTGTGGTTCACTCTACCATTGAACCACATCCTTAACAGAAACTGGCTTCCTTGTAGCCACACAGGCTGATACCACTATTATCAGCTTTTTCTGAATAATTTTACTACTTATCAGCCCTCAGACTAAACCTCTCTGTGTCCTGGTTTCTTTGTCTACAAACTGGGATTAATATTATTACCTGATTCTTCTTTGCCAGCCTGGTTGTTACAGTCCCCCAGTGTCTGAAACCTCATAAAGAAACTAGTTCCCTATTTTTTTTACCTAAACTGTGGCAGAGGCCAGAGAATGAACAGGGAGAGCCTGTGCCTAGGGCTTTGCCCCCATGGGATCTGGGATCTGGTGAGGGGTCACACTCTCACCCATTCACAATCTCAGCACATTGCCTTTGGCATTGCATGAGAACAACAGGGCTCCCTGGCCACACACCAAGTTTTCCCTTCAGTTTGACTAAGCAGCTTACACAAATGACATTTTACATATTGTTCTCTGCCTGTTAATGGAAGTGGACAAATTTGGTGACTAAGGGGAGGGTCCCTTTGAGATGATGACTTTGGCTCATATTTCTAAATTTCTTACTGTGGCTGCTCTGGATGTCAGAAGAGGCCTCCAGTGGGTTGGAAAGGGCACTGCCTTGCACATCTGAACACATCTGTTGTCTCTGAAATTGGTCAAGGCGGGCCACTGGATTTTCAGAAGCAAAAATGAGGCTTTCAATGAAAGCATTCCAGAGAAAGTAAGAATGCCACCACCCCTTATTGCTCTAAATTTATCAGAATTCCTGTCAATCTTTCTGGTTTGTTTCTCTTCTTTTCTTTTCTCTCCAGTGCTATTGATAGAACCCAGGGCCTCACACATGCCAGGCAAGCACTCTACCATTGAACCACATCCTTAGCCCACTTTCTGAGTTCTTTAGTGACAGATAAAGCAAGGTCAAGTTAAAGCATTTAAGTTCCAGGAGAGATAGGGATAACATATTATTTACACGGATCTTGAAATCTCATTTCTTCCATGAATTCTTTCTTGCTTCATTGAGTAATTGGTTATAATGAGAATTTCTTCCTATTCATTGCCAATAGCACCCCAGCTCCCAAATTCACTCTTCTATTGTGCATAGAGGAAATAGCCCTTATCAGATATTATATTTGTTTAGTTGGTAACCGTGTACCTGTGACTTTCTCTAAGTTTCCAGGGAGGCAGAGGTTAGATGCCAAGCCTAGTAGCTTGAGCAGACAGGGACTGCTGGAAATCAGGTGAGGAGGGTGGAGTGAGCTCCCTGGGACCCAGCTAGAGCCTGGGAACTGGCTGTCATTTTGGTCTTGGCTGTCCTAGGGCCCTGAGAGTCTGCCGCAGGCCTTCCTGGCATCCGTGTGGTATCTGTGTAACTCCCCCACATGCAGGGCAGATAGGGCCCCACATGCCTTAGTACCTTGCCAGAGCGTGGGCTGCAGCAGGACAGAGGTTGTTAGGCAAAGCTGGCATCAGCTCCCTGGGGACGCTGCAGAGCCTCAAGAGTCCAGGCAGAGCAGGAGACTAGCTGGGCCCATGTGGGCAGGCAGATGAGATTGTGGGGAGAATCAGAGAAGAAAATAGGTCTGAGGAGACAGTCTTGACATTCAGTGCAAACTGAAGAATAAAGAGGAGAGCAGCAGGTACAATGGAGGGTTGCACTTGGCACAGGGAAGAGTCCTGGGCCCTCCCCTAGGGAAGCCCCCATTACAGCCTCCACCTTCCCCTGCTTCACCTCATTTGTGAAGCAGGAGGTCTGGTCTGGAGAACATGAAGTCTTTTTCAGCAATAAAATCTTGTTTAATGAGAGTTTATGAATCTCGCTTTCAGTCCTAGAGACCTTAGAGCTCCGGAGTCACCAATTATGTGTCACCAGAGGGTGTGGCCCAGGAATTCCAATATTTTCTACCATTTCAAAAATAATATCTTTGCCCATAAAATCATCTGCCACAACAGATGATTACTTAAACTGCAGTTATTTAGTGGAGTGTGGGAGGAAATCTAATAAAGGGATATTCTATGTGGTACAGAATTTGAGGAACTGATCAAATTTAACCCTCTCATTTTATATGTGAAGAAAATGAGAAGTAATCTCTTGTCTAGAGATATCTAGCAAGTTAGGAGGAAGAACAAGAACTAGAAGACTCCAATTTTCTAATAACCTGGCTGAGCTCTTGCTACTCTAACCCCTTTTCCTCTGCCTGGCTTGTGGGCCAGCATCCCTTCCTTATAGAGAGTATCACCTGAGCTTTTAAAAATTGTCCTAGCTTTTCTTTCTGATAAGTAGAAGCTAATTTTGATCAGACAACTTTCCATTCTAGCTGTTCTAGATACTGGTGGCTTGGAGTATGAACTAATCCCATAGTGCTAGAGAGAAGCTTTGCCCTGTTGCTCATACATGGGGGTCTTGGCTGGACAGGAAAGTCCTGGGTCTCCTGTGGGGAGAGCGTGGTCTCTGCAGAGCCTGATAGGCAATTACTTGAAGGAACTGGGAGAGTTAGAGGTTGGTAATTAAGGGCCCTGGCTGTAACTCTGCTCAACAACTAAACAACTGGGCAAGTGACTTGTTGCACCTGAGTTTCTTCATTTATAAACGGGAGAGGGGTGCTGACTGGGTGCCAAAAGCCCTTTAACCCTGACACCATATATATACTCTGCCTCTGCCCCTTGAAGCTATCCCATTTCTCAAAGGGGAAAGGTCCAGCAAGTTGAGTCCTTGGGTTAGTCAGTCCCAGAAAGACTAGGCCGATCTATCCTACACATCATAACCATCTAAATCTTTCTAAAGAATAGCTTTATTCTTGACATTCTCTGCCAAATTCTGGGGACTCCATACAGCTCCATGAAAAAACTTCCATTCTTTTGACTGACACTTGAACTTCTAAGAATTGGCCCTATAACCTCTCTAGCTTTTTCCTGGTCTATTGGTCAGATAAGCAGGTATTTTCAGTTAAGAGACCCAAGATTCAATCCTAGAATCACCTCTTTTCAGTCCTGGGATTTTAGTTCAGTTTCTTACCCCCTCTGTGTTGTGCACATAAAATAAAGATAAGACACCTACTTCATCAGTTTGATATGGATTAAATGAAATACCATTAAAACTGAATAAGTGCTCAATGAAAGTGCTTGTGCTCTCTCTCTCTCTCTTTCCCTTCCCCAACTAAAGCGTATGTTCCTTGAGAACAGAAATTAGATGTTCACTTATGTCTTCAATGTGCTTAGCACAAAGCCTTCAGTAGAGAAAGTGCTCAGTATTTGTTTCATGGATTGATGCTTTGTCCCCCTGTTCCAGAAGTTGTCCTAAGTAAGCTGAAATGTTTTCTTCTCTTTTGCAGTTTGCCCAGATGGTGGCCATCTACAAGACACTTGGAGGAGACAAGTTCCCACTCATTGAGCAAACATACTACCCCAACCACAAAGAGATGGTAGGTGCTAAGTAGGGACTGAGTCTGCTGTTTGCCCTCTGAGCTTAATTAACCACATGGATCTCACCATCTCAACCCCAAAGATTCCACTGGAATGGAACTATCAAGTCACTTTGTGGAGCTATAGTAACTGGATTTTGGCCAACAACCTCTTGTTTTTAAATTCTGGAGACAGGAAATAACAGCAACAAGGGCAGTTTAATAAATCTAAGGGAGTAACGAACCTGTGGACCAACAATCAGAAGATCTCACTACTTGGAGTTGTATCTCTGGCTCTGCCAGGTATCTCTGCAAGTTACATTTCCTCACTCTTGTGTCAGTTTTCCAACCACCCAGGGGGGCAAAACTATCCCTGACCTGGATGTCTAACACGATAGGTACAAAGAGTCTCGTAGTAATAGCTTTCTGATAAAGCGTGAAGCTCTCCTTAGATATAAGCTGTTGCTCTTGTATTATTCACCAGACTTCCATTCCCTTGGCTTCCTCCAATTGGGATAAAGCTGGGCTAACCCTGTGCTTTTTCTGAGTCCAACCTAGGAGGTCAGAAAAATCAGCGAGATGGGATGTTTTGTCCATAGAAGGCTGTGACTAAGGTTTTTCCTCCAGCAGAGCCTGGAGCCCAAGCTCCCATCTTCCTTACTGTCCACACCCTCTGCCCAAGGCTGGTGTGATCAGATGTGATCCTGCTTAACCCACCAGTGGAAACTAGCTGCCAAAGCCTTGCAAGTATTGTGCTCTGGGACAAAGACCATGTTGTTCACCCTCCTATTCCTTCCCCCAAAAGGAATCGCCATTTGCAGCATTTCTATGAATCCTGAGCCTTCTCCTAGAACATTGTACATATCCCTGCTTACCCAGCAGACCACACATATGGGAGATTTGGGGCTGGAGGGAGAGGAGCTCGGACCTTGAAAAGAACTATGTCCAACATCATCTTCACCAGAACTTCCTCAGGGAGAGGCTCTGGAATTTTAAACCCTTGCCCTAAATAAATCCTAGAGGTTAATATGAGGATTTTCCCATTTAAGGCAAGCCAGGAAGGTTTGCAGAAGGCCTGAGGAACCCTGAGGGGCCAAGGCTGGAAATCTCAGGTAGTCTAGGACACAATGAGGAGGCAGGCAATGAAGGAAGTCTCTGAGGATCAAAGCAATTTTTTCCTGCTATAACATCTAGCAGGGCTGACCAATGGGGAAGAAAATTACATTAAGTGCAGGATGTATTCCTCCTCTTTTCCCCAGGGTCCTTGTGATATTTCTCTCCTATCCTCTTATCCTGAAATATGCACCTAGGAGGTCATCTCTCAGGATTTCAAAAGCTGATCAAGGGGTAATTTCCACTCTGCAAGAGAAAGGCCTTTTGGCTTAAAAAAAAGAAAAAAAGGCACTGGGTTCAAACCTTAGTACTACATAAAGATAAATGAATAAAATAAAAGTCCATCTACAACTAAGAAAAATTAAAAAAAAAATTTTAAAGTCCTGAAGTAAGAATGAAGACATTAGTAACCTTAAAGAGGCAGAAGGGACAGCCTCTGGACATCAGCTGAGGGAACCAGGAATAGTTAACCTGGAGGGAAAGTATTCATTCCTAGACAGCAAGTCTCCTCCTATCCAGAGGTGTGCTAGGATCTTCTGCCAGGAATGGTGTCAAGGGGATTGCCGCACAGAGAGGAAGGTGAGGCTGTTTAGCTCTCACACAGAGTGATTTTGGGTCCCCTAAGTAGATGAGAGTACATGAGAGGATTAGGATGAATGGAGTTAGTAGGAGTAGAGGACACATAGCCATAGTGTTGTTCATTTCATTACCACTGTGGTCAACCCATCTTCTGTTGTTATACATCACAGGGCTGCACCATTTCATAGGTGTAACATTCACCGTTTCTCCCCATCAGATAATTTAAGGTAAACAACACTTATTTTCCTGGGGAGAAAAGGAATTAGTCTTGGTCTTGGAAAATAAACTAAACCAGATCAAAACTTTCAATAATAGATTAAACTATTGCGGGTAGGGGTTGGGAGGAAGGAGAGAAGGAATGAGGTCAGGACAAAAAAAGTCATGCTACCTTCCCAGGTTATGGACTAGGCTCTTAGACACAAGAGTAATGTTCCCCATCCCTGCCATGATGTTGGTAAGGCCTTCCACTTGGCACTTCCCATTGGCTGGCAGCAACAGGGTAGATGGTAACAGAGTTCCAGTGAAGGATTGGTCTTCAGGTCTCTCGAAAGGCTGTGGTGGTCACTGGTCTTTACTAAGGCTCGATGACGTCAACAAACTCCTCCCTATTGGGGTGGTGTTGTACCAGCTGCCATTTGCAGGTGCCATCCTCATTCTTCTTGCAGAAAAAATGGTGGGCCTGGTTCCCATAGAGCTTCCGTTCCAACAGCCAGTCTGTCCAGAGACACTGATTGCGCATCGATTTGTTACAGGTCGGTGAGTAGCAGATGGTAACCTAGAGTCATAACCACAACATCAGAGTGAGGAAGAGGCCCTTCCTCTTCTGTTGCTGCTGTCAGACCCCAACATATCCTCCCAGCCCTTTTCGACTGCACCCCACCTGTGTTTTATGAAGCCTTTCCTCGTCCCCACTATTCCCCTGAGTTCTCCTGCTCCATGCTCCTTGTGTAAGTGTTACCTCTCTAATATTTCTGGAATCTACCACTGACCTTGAGCAAGTACTTCACTTCCCAGAGCTTTAATTTCTTTACCTTAAAATGGAAGTCTTATTTCTTTACAAATGTGTTACGGAGACCAAATTAAATATTTAAAATAAATTGACTACTATAGGGTCCAGCAAAAAGTAGGCTCTCTCTAAATAATGGCTGTGGTAAAGTCATCTCATTCTGCTTTATATGATGACCACTCTACCAACCAAAATGTTAAGTTCTTTGAGGTCAGGGACTATGGACTCTTTCTTGCTTTTTCACCGCCAACTTCATGCAGTGTCTGATCCATGCCATATTTCAAGTAGAATATGATTGATAAATAAATAAATAAATAAATACATGAAGGAAAGAATCCTGAAGGGTGAGTCTACAAGGCTTAAGACCCTCACCCACCCCAGATCGTCTTAGAAATGGACCCCCCTCACTTCACAGTCACAGTTGAAAAGGTAGTGGTGATTCAGACTCTGTCTCTGCGCCATGGACACGTTTTCCCAAGGCTGGATATAGTTACACATATTAATGAAGATTTTTCCATCATTGAGAACATTACCTTCATGGGGAGATAGAAGAGAATATAACATCAGAACTGTGCTCCTAGAGCCCTGGGTCCTTCAAGAACCCAGAATTATAGTCAGTGACGAGCCAAAGCTCCAGTGGTTGGTTGGTTGATTTGTTTGCTTATTTTAAAAATATTTATTTTTTTAGTTCTACACGATACCTTTATTTTGTTTATTTATTTTTATGTGGTGTTAAGGATCTAACCCAGGTCCTTGCACATGCTAGGCAAGCTCTCTACTGCTGAGCCACAACCCCAGCCCCTATTAATTTATTTATCTATTTATTACTGGCAATTAAACCCAGGCCTTGCATATGCTTTGCCACTGAGCTACACCACAATCTCCAATGGCTTTTTTTTTTACCCAATGGAAAAAAATCAGAATTTTATTTTAAGGCATATTCAGTTGAAAGAATGAAGGAAACACAATTTCTAGTTACAAATAGCAATGTTTTAAATTTAGATATAGAGATTGTAAGCAATAAAATGTATTGATTTTTAATTTTCAGTGTTTAACTGTGAATTACCAAAATTAGACCAAAGGTTGATACAGATCTTTGTTTTAATTAAGAAACCTGATGTAAATTTTATCTGTTAACCTCTGCTTCTTGAGCTTCTGCATCTTATTGAATCTTCCAACAAAATAACTCAGGGGCCTCTGTGCTGGTTAAAAATATGCCTCAGTGGGCAGGGTCCAGTGGCTTTTTGATAGCAGTGACAATATGGGGCTCAATGGAGGAACTGGAAAAAAACCTATAATTTTTATAGCAGGAGATTAACAACATATTATGCTTGTGCAAGGTAGAATTGTGGGGTCTGGTAAAGACATTTTTCTCTAGTAGGTACAGAGAGAAGGTGGGCTTTAAAATCAGACTTCAGGAGCTCTGGGGGGTGTAGCTGAAGTTAAGTGCTTTCCTAGCATGTGTAATGTCTTGGTTTTGATCCCCCCCCCAAAAAAGTGAGACTCTATGCGGGACCCTCTTCTTTTCAATTACTTGCTGTATAACCTTAAAGAAAGTCACGAAATCTTTCAACTGGAAGATAATAATAATAAAGTTTGGTCAATATTAAATGAGAATGTCTGTAGAATTCCCCATACAGTTGAAGACTCACAGAAAATGTTCAATAAATAATAGGATCCCTTCCCCTTTCCAGTCTTTCCCAATATCTAGGCCAGTCTTCTGTCCCCTGGTGAGTCTTTGCACATTAGAAAGTTCCTCTTCTTTCCTACCAAGCTCCTTCCCATCTTTCAAAGATCCTTTTTAGTAATACCTTGTCCTTGTGACCATGCAGGCCTTCACATCTTCTAGAACTTCCGTTGCTCAGTCATTTGCTCACAAATCACAGCAGCTAGAACCCAGTACCAGGAATACAAAAATAAATAGGACAAGATCTCTGCCTCCAAGAAACTTCAAATGTGACTGATAAGTAGGCAAAAATGACCTTATGGTATGACTACATAGAAGATGTAGTATAAGAGCAAAGGAGGTCCAATTATCTCCAGGTAAGGAACAGGTAGAGTGAAAAAAAAGTGTCTCCGAGGAGGGAAGGTTGTGCGTGCTTAGAAGGGATGGGGAGGACTTCATCTGTCAAATAAGTGGAGGTCTTCTGAACATTGGGACTGTCCTACACCAAGGCAGAATGACATCCCATTGGCACACCTTCTGCAGCTCCAAATAGTTTATTTCAGCTCTGGGAGAAGAAGGGTCAAAGAACTATTATGACAGATAGCAGAAGACCAAGCTAGAAAGGTCAGCAGTGTTCTGGTCTCAAAGGGCTTTCATAATCTGGCAAAAAAGAGTTTCTGACTTTCTCAGAAGGGTACAGGTGTCACTGATGACTTTTCCATGGACTTATGTTTTGTTGTTTATCCCAACCCTCAATTATACTTGACCTTGAGGGCAGAGAGCTTGTACCTAAGAGTCTAACAAATGGCTAGACACAGAGGGTAGGTCTGCTGGAAACCAGAGGGCTCAGCAGCATGCCATGTCTCCCATCCAGGAGCTCCCTGCTCAGCACAATTCCACATCCTTAGAGCTAACCTCTATCAGTGTGGCCTCCAATGCCTGTCACTCCTCAAGAGCCATGTCCGAACTCTTTGAAGTCTATGACTTGTTTTTTGAATTTCCATTCTCCTGTCCAAGGCCTGGCAGTGTGTTGTAGGTGGTCTTTTGTTGTTGAATGGATAAATGGAAGGTAGAATTCTGCCTGTTCTCTCCACCTGCTATGCTCTTCATTTTCCTTGCTTTCTTCCTAGATAGTTTTTCTTTTTCTTTCTTTTTTTTTCCTTCCTTATTTATTTATTTTGTTGGTGAGGGGAAGTACTGGGGACTGAATCCAGAAGCACTCTACCACTAAGCTACAAACCACCTTTTTTTAAATTTTTGAGACAGAATCTCAGTTACTAAAGCTGGCCTTGAACTTGCAGTCCTCCTGCCTCAGCCTCCAAAGTCACTGGGACCAGCCATTTTTCATCTTTTGAAAGAGGCCAGTTTAGATCTCACTTATACCGCAAAGCTTCCTTGATTGTTCCCAGTCACACAAATACCTCCTTTCCTTAAACTCCAAAATAACTTAGTGTTGTATTTATTAGTTTATGAAGTCATATTCTTATACAGTTCTTTAACTGTTCCATCCAAATCATTTCAGAATGGAGGCTTGCCTGTGCCCAACTTCATGGAACAGAACTGTGTTAGACTCAAGGCTCTTATTAGGGTCCATGCAAAAGGCAGGGATAACCCATAAGGAGCAGTTTCAGGGGACAGATTTGGGTCAAAATGCCAAAAATCTTATGCTAATTAAAACTGTTTCAAAATGGAGCTTACTGCCCGAGCCTGGGAGAGCACCCTTTCCTTAAAACTGGGAAGCAGTGGCCAAGATCATTCTAAGGAAAACTCTTGCCTTAATGAGAGGTCACCAAGACTCCCCCCAACTAACAGGCTGTCACTATCACAACTATTTTTATGTGTAATAAAATGCCACCTGGCTGGCTTGCTGCCCCAGGAAGGCCCTGGCTCCTGCCTCAGGACCTCCTTGGGACAAACTTCATCCCCACCAGTCGCTAGTCTTTGACTTACCAGTTATAAAGTATTGCCTCTTACTGTTGACTGCTATTCTAGTTCCACAGAGAGAAGTGTTCACAGAGGTGTAGACATAGCGAACCTCCTTGACTTTCTCAGCCCCTTTAAACATCTGAAAGACAATTGCAAAAAAAAAAAAAAAAAACTCGAAAACAAACCCCAAAACACAGTATTTGGTCAGTGAGTATAATTTGTATATTAACAGGCAAAAACTTCTCTTTTCTCAGTCTCAAAAATAAAGTGAAAGTCTAGTTTCAGAATTGGTGCATTCAGAGTCCACAGACTCCTACTGGGTTGTCTTTGTCTTAAAAAAAAATTTTTTTTTAAATCTAAATTTATTCCAGTGGAAGGAAAGGTACCTCAATGGCAGCTGTGGGACCCACTGAGGCCCCCACACTGCACTGCCCTTGGGTTTTGTGGTCCCTGCCCCCAACATTCCAACCAGTTCCCACTTCACCATGTCTACAAAAAGTTCACTGAACCAGATTGTCTGAAACCTACCCTCCCAAAACACAGACCCCATTTCCCTCTACCAGCCTAATGAGGGTAAATGCCCTGTCCTGCCCCCATGTACCTTCATCCGTTTGAGTTCATACCGGAGCAATTTGTTAGGGTTAGAAGGGTCTTTATTAGCAGTCACTATCTTCTCACTGGTGACTTTGGCCCGAATCACTGCACAGGGAGAAGAAAGAGGGAAAAAAACCATTAGTACTTGGAGCAATCTATTTGGGATCTGGATGATCTGGGGACCCTGGAGAATTTCAGGTGTTGGGTTTTGAGTGGTGTGATAGAGATTTGCAGTCACTGCAAGTTCAAACTCTTTGCGATTCTTAGGTCCTCAGCCTCTGTGCTTTTTGGGCAACCTGTTAATTTGGAGAGCTCTAGTTCCTGCAACTCTGGGAACTGTGGGCAAAGGGGAGGAGTCAGAGTGGTTGAGCAGGAAGGAGCCCCTTGAAGGATTCCTGTGAGGCTCATCTGTTGAAATAGCTCAGAGCCTCAAAGCTCTCCCAGAGTTGATATTAGTAAATGTTTATTGAATCCATAAATATTCTGACCCTGCTGAGAAAACCCATCTCTTGCCATTTGGGCGTTAATCAAAAAAACTGTTTATGAAAGTCTCCTCTTGGTCTTGTACTGGGCACAAGTCCCACAGATGTGATTGCAACAGAGTCCTCATCCTGCAGAACTTTTGGTCTATCAGAGGATGTGCCTATAAAAACCAATAATACTGAATAGTAGAAGCGCAAACTTGGTAGAGACACAGTGGTAGCCAGGGAGCAAGGAAGCCTCCAAAGAAGGGACCTGAGTTAGCCCTTGAAGGATGAATTGGAGTTGGCCAGGAATGCGAGGGTGTATGGGGAAAGGGCATCCAGATAGAGAGGAGAGAAAGGGCAAAAGATCAGAGTTGGGATGGGGACCCTGTGGCAACCTCAGTTATGGGCTTGGACAGAGACAGGCCCCACCCCCAACCCAGCTGGATCACTCTGGTGACACTCCAGTTAATGATACTCCCAGGTTGCAGTATGGTCAGGATGAGGGGCGTCGCTATAGAGGTCGGGACAATCTATTTTCTTACAAATCAGACTCTGTGCTTGCAAGGTTGCTCTGGTGCCAGCCCTTTCAACCCATCAGCCTCAGCAGGAGGCAACGGTGGAGGGGGGGGTTGAGCTCCTCCCCTTTCCTCAGACTCCTGGTCTACCGCTCAGCCCAGAGCCAGTCCCCACCGCCACTGCCCCTGCTGTGGACCGCCTGGGCCGGACTCACCAACCGCCTAGCGGCAGAAATGCTGCTGCGGGTGCGTTGGGAGGCAGCTGCACGCCTCGCCCCGCCCCGGGGGCCACAGCAAAGCCAGCAGTCCCAGCACCAGCGCCCTGCTCGTCGCGACTGAGAGGCTCCAGAGCACGACACCGCAGAGCCCCATCAGAGCCTGTGGGGTCTGTCGGACCAAAACAGTCGGTCCAAGGCGCCTTAGAACGCGCCCGGCCCTCCACCCCCCCCCCACCTCGGCTCTATGAGATGACCATAGAACCAATCCCGCCCTAATGGGCTCCGCCTTCCTTTGGCTTGAGGCCACCTGTGGTGGCAGGACCCGAGACCCTCCAACTAACCATCTCAGTGAGAGTTAGTGGGGATCCTGAGGAGCTAAGCCTCTGGAAGTAGAGGGCAGACACTGGGAGAGGGATGCTGTCAGGGGCAAAAAGAGAAGAGCAACCAAGACGAACGCCCCAGGGCAGAAAGACCAGGGGCTGTGATTCAGGCCGAAGGGACAGTGAGGAGAGGCTCAGAGAGGAGGAGACAGGCAGAGGTCGAGAGAGGCAGACAGAAACACAACAACAGGCAAAACACACAGTGATGGAGAAGGACGGACCCTTGCTGAGCGGCATACTGGGAATGAGACAAGCTACTCAGGGCTCCTTTCAGCTGCGGGAAGTGTTTTCAATGCCCTATTTATGAGGCTCCAAAGCAACAGCAAACAGTAAGGGAAGGGACAGAGAAAGTTGGGGTGTGTGTGTGTGTCTTGGCTCTGTCAGCTGGGGGGTGGGGAGAGATGTCAGAGAAAGCAGCCTGTGCTTAGAAACCCTTTCTCTAAGCAGGAGCCTTAGACTCTGCAGATAGCAAGGGACCGTTCTCTCAGGTGTCCCATCACTTAGGACAAAGTTTGGACCTCAAAGCCCTGTTTCCAGTTCCTGGGTGATTCTGATTGTTATTGCACGTTGTAGCCACTGGAGACTACGTGGGGAAGCTTGGGGGCCAAAGAAGTAAGGGGCTCGGGCTCGTTGTGACCCAAGCCACTGTCCAAGGCTGGAAATAGAAGAACCATTGAATTATAACTATAGAAAGTAGAAGGTCGAGTTCTGATTCTGTCATTAGGTAGCTTTGTCACCTTTACTTTGCAGAACCTCAGTTTTTTCTCCATAATATAGGCTTGCATGATCTTCTTCTTCTCCTTCTCCTTCTTCTTCAGTGCTGGGGATCAAGGAGCCTTGCACAAGCTAGGCAAGCACTGTCCCACTGGGCTACACCCCCAGCCCTGAAGTACATGTTTTCTGAAGCCCTTTGAAGCCCTTTCCCCCAGCCTCCACTGGCTTCAGCCAGGAATGCTGAAATCCTCAGGTCACATTCTCCCAGTATCTCCTCACACCAAGATTCCATGGGAATCTGACTTTTTCATCAGGGTTGCCATTATCTTCTTCAGGGGACATCTTTTCACTTGGATGGTATTGGTGACATTTGAAAGGAGAGAGACTGACAGGATAGGTCCAAGCTGGTGTCCAGGTTGGTTCTTCATACCATGTCTAGACCAAGATAAGAGCTAAATGTATTATTTGTAGGAATCTCAGAAGCATCCAGTCCAATCATTCATTTGACAGGTGTGAAGGCTGAGACTCAGTGATACAAATTGATCTATAGAAAGTTAGTGGCAGAAAGCACTAGAAAACAAGTATCTTTATGTGTATTCTAGTGCTCTGTATACTCTACCACATTATTTCTTTTCATTTGGCTTTCTTTTTTTTTTTTAACAGCTCGAAATCCTGTCTTTGGAGGATAATTCTTTCTTTTAAGTTTTTATTGCTCCTCTGTTAAAATAAGGCTACTTCAAGAATGCATTCATTTTCATAAGGATCCCTTTCCAAGGGTAAACATATTGAATTCTTACATGAGCTCTCTTCCAAACTCCAAGCTGGGCAGAAATAGGCCTTAGCATATTAAGCCATGTTTGGGGTTTAGTTTGTGCTGTTGATGAGCAGCAAAGACTCTGAATGAAGAAGAGTACAGCTGGGTCAGTATTTTTGAAGGGGTAGGTACTAAGAGATAAATGATGATAATAAATATGCATTCAAAAAAAGCTTTGGGTTAATTAAGACGTAATTTACATAAATCTTTAGCTGAGAGCCAATCCTGCCCAGTGTTTGTCTAACAGAGAAGATTGAAGCAGCAAGATACAGAGAGAAAGAACAAGGTTTGGAACAGTTCTTCCTCTAACACGCTGTGTGACCTTGGGAAAGTCACTGTCATTCTATGAGTCCAGTTTCTTAATTTGTAAAGCAAATAGGTTGGTCTGGTTCTTTAAGGATCCTCCAAAGGGTGTTCCTAAGAAAAACGTGTGGGATTCCACAGAGAGAGGCACACCTGACCAGTTTGTTCCTTTCTTCTCTGCCTTCAGCTGACACTGCCCACATTCCCCGTGGTGGTGAAGATTGGCCATGCTCACTCCGGTATGGGCAAGGTAAGGCAGGGGGGGCTGCAGTGGTGTGGAGTTGGGCCCAGAGGGGCATTTTTGCTGGAGAGGTAGCTCAGTAGAGCACTTGCCTAGCATGCATGAGGCCCTAGCTTCAATCCCTCATACTGTGGGGGGAATAAAGAAGGTCAGTTTTCAGATGGGTTTGAAGGCTTCAGGGCCTTTTGACTAAGATCTCCCTTTCTTCCTCTGGACATTAGGTCAAAGTGGAAAACCACTACGACTTCCAGGACATTGCTAGTGTGGTGGCCCTCACTCAGACCTACGCCACAGCAGAGCCCTTCATTGACGCCAAGTATGACATCCGAGTCCAGAAGATTGGCGGCAATTACAAGGCTTACATGTAAGTGGGGAGGTGTAGCGTCCCAGCAGATGCTCTTTGTTCATCTCAGCCACCAGCTCTCAGTCGAACCTCACCAGGCCCATAAGGCAGGTTACAGGGAGAGCATGCCACTTAGGTCTGGAACTCCTAACCTGGGATCTTTTGAAGTCAAGGGAGAGGGGGTCTGTAAACTGAGATGAGAAATAAAATTAGTATTAATTTCACTAGCTCTCTTCAGATATAAACAAAAAACTACAGGCAATAGTAGTAGCAGTACATAGGACTTTATCACCAAAGGTGATCATGATTCTCGTGTATCACACTACAGTTGTGACAGACCTGAGTACCAGTTACTGTCATCCCTATGTAAAGCTCATGATAGTTATTAGACCTGCCTCTGTATCACATTATTTAAAGAAACACATCTTTGACTAATCAAAATGTGTTTTTAAAATATTTTTAATAACTCTAACTGGGTATCTTTGTGATCTTATATACTTCATGCACTTGCATGTTTTATATGTTTTAAACATTGAAAGGAATCCTGTGCTTCAACAGACTACCAAAAAATGGGTAAAGTTAAACTCCAAATGCAAATATCCAGCCCTAAGTCTAGTGGTTGTAAGAGTAGATGACTTCCCCACAAAACTCTATCCATATGGAAGAATGAAAAGTTAAAAATGTCCCTCATTAGAATTAAAAGAAAAATCCCCCAAATCGATGGAGGGTGGAAAGCCAGAGAAACTTTAGATGGCATTTCCTTTTGTTTCTTTGTTTTTGCAAAACGAAAAACATCCATGTTTAGTGAAAAGAAGGTGCTGGTTCGGCCTCCAATCTCAGTAGGCCATAACAGAGGTCACATGACCTGCAAGTCCACAGATGAGCTGTCACTGAGTGGCCTCTCGGTATCACGTCTGCTCCCATACTTTAGGGGGCCCCTTAAGGATCTATGTCGTATGTCCCATTGTAAACTGAGATGTAAAGTCTTACAGAATTTTGCAAACTTTAAAATATAATAAAAATATAAGAGATATATTATTATTTACTCAGAGTTTCCAAGACCCTGTTATGTGTCATGGCTCTATGCTGGGAACTTGAAAGTGAGTGTCTCTCTGTCCCTGTCTTGAGGAGGTTGCTTACAGGGACACCTTAGTAAACCATAAGCTTAGGAAGACAGTTACATTTATTGTGATTTTCTTGTCTCTGAGTTTCTACTCAGGTTTTGCCAGCTACTCAGCTATTTATTTATTTGCTTTTTTCTGAACTTGGTAGTGGTGGCAGGGAAAAGCACATCACACAGGGAATCAAGTTTCCTGGATTTTTATCTCCCATCTGCTGTGACTGAATATGCAGTCTTGGACAAGTCATCCAGCCTTTCTGAGTCTGAATCTTCTTGTCTATAAAGCAGAGCAAGAACTCCAGCCTACTCAGAACAGGGAGTTCGAAGTGAGGCTATTATGGGGGGTTTGGAGAAGAGGCACTATAGAAAGCAGCCAGTACTGTCCAAGTAGATGGTTGTTGTCGCCCCCTCCATATAAATATTTCTCAATGCCTGAAGTCAGATCTCTGGGGAGGACATTTATGGGAACTGGCACAACTACTCTCCAAATAGTACTGCATGGTGAGGATAGCACACGGAGGGCTCTGTCCATGGTGTAAGAGGACTTTTCTGTCCCCTAGGCCATTCCCTTTCCCATTAACTATATCTTGGTGAAAACTTATGATTTAAAAGATCTATTTTTGGTATTTTACTGTTTACTTAACCCTGTACTAATCGGTCCTTCTGGCAACCCTGTGTTAACAGATAGAGGCTCAAAGACTAGCTCTCTCATGGTCACCTAGCCAGCCAAGAGCAAATCCAGAACCAGATACCTGGTCTTCTACCCCCTATGTTGTCCAAGACTAGCTGATTCTTAACCCATGCTCATAGAGGGCAGGTACAGTGGATATAGCAGAGGTTGATGACTGATGCCATCATTTCCATTGAATAGATGAGTGAAGCCCAAAGAGGTTAATTGACTGACCCAGAGCCACATGACTAATATTGTAGTGAACCTCAGAAATTAACTGTTGAATGAGTGAATGAGAGTGCTAATGAAGAAGACATTGGAAGATATTCACCAGAACGCTGCAAGAGCTCTCAGGAGAAGTGGGATTCAGTTTGTATGCCCGGACACTGTGAGTAGGCAGGAGGACAGGCCACAGTACATACCCCAGGTGTTTTATATAGTTATGGACAAGTCTTAGCTTAAGCCTCAGCTCAAGTAACTAAATTAAAAAGTAATGTTAGATTGTTAAGTGAGATATAGGCAAAATTCTAATGGGATCAGAACGCATCCATTTGAAAGACCAGGTCAGAGAAGGCTTCATGGAGCCAGGCCTTCTGAGGTGGACCATTGTGGAGAGCTGAGGGCCTCACAGGTGGGAGTTTGGCTGAAGCCGTGGGGCTGTAAGCTCCACAGACAGACTTCAGGCTCTTTATGGGAAAAGCGGTTAGGGAACTGTGAGCTTCGGTTCTGGAAGGTTTCATGCCCTCCCATTGCTGGTGTGGCTCATGGCCTATCCTACCCTGGCGGGACCTTGTTGCAGGAGGACATCAATTTCGGGGAACTGGAAGACGAACACTGGCTCTGCAATGCTGGAGCAGATCGCCATGTCAGACAGGTGAGTGAGCAAAGGGGTCCAGTCCCCTGTGAGAGGGAGGCTACCATAGATGAAGAGGTGTAAGAAAGCAGGAGGGGAGCCTCTGGGCAGACAGGACTGATAAAACACAAAAGGCCCAAGCAGCCAGTCCACAAGATCAGGCAAGACTGGGTCTTGTGCTAAATTATAGAGATAAAGGCTTTGCATATCACAGAATCTCCAAGAAAGGAGTAGTAGTTAATATGGGCTGGAATAGCCAAGGAAGGCCTCCTAGAAGAGTGGAATCTGCCCTGGGCTTGAAAAGATGGGTAGGATCAGGAGAGCAGAAAGGGAAAGTTCTGTAAATAAGGGACCACCTTTGATGGCTGTGGGATAGAAAAAGCGGGTGGTGGAGATGGGAGAGATAGAGGCTGTAAGAAGAGCCCGACCAGCAAGCAGGCTTGGGGTGAGCTAATGCTCCATCCTCAGGACACCTTCCTGTCCCCTCCAGGTACAAACTATGGGTGGACACTTGCTCTGAGATGTTTGGTGGCCTAGACATCTGTGCTGTCAAAGCTGTACATGGCAAAGATGGGAAAGACTACATTTTTGAGGTAAGTCTGTCCCAATCGTATCTGAGAAACAACACCCAAGGCTGCAGGCCAAACTCTTGGCTCAAAAACTGTGTGGACAGCCCAGACTGCATTTATAGTTTAGAATCTTCTGAATTGTTGGAAGGCCCTAGACAGCACATCTGCATAGCAGGATACCTCCACCGGTGGGAAGCTATTACTTCCAACCTGCTAAGCCTATGCACACCAGGGGTGATAACTGGCAGATATGGGTTCCTGAGGTCCTAGTGCAGCCATTTCTCTGGGAAAACTATAGTGACTTTAGTATTCTTAGTCTGAGAAAGCTTCCTCCTTTTTCAGTCATTTTACAGGCAAGAAAACAGGCCTAAGTGCTGCGAGCCTGTGCCTAAGGCCACAGGGTGAATCGGTGTCTCCACCTGGGCACCTGGGGACAGGAGATTTTTCTGAGCATCCCTCTGGGCCCTGGAGACACTTTCCTTATCCTGATCCTCTAACACAACTTTTCTGACTCTCTTTTCCCATATTCAAAGAAAAGCCCATGACAGTATGAATTCTTCACATACATTGTCGCCCAGTCTTCCTAGGAGCAGGAAAGGTTCCTGGCCAGAGTGATTCTAGAGTACTAGTGTCAGGAGCCTAGCTAGAGTGGGCTTCAGGTTCAGAATCTACCCCCATGGTCTACTCAAACTCTGGGATGGCTACACCTCCCCTCCCAGAGTGGGAGCAGATGTTTCCTCAATAAATGAGACAGTTGGACTATGGAATCTATGATCCCACTAAGGCAGACATTTCCAAAAAGAAGGACCCATTGCTTTGGGCCCTGAGATTCAAAAAGAATCAGGATCAGTGGCAGGTAGAGAAGGCATCCCAAGTCAGAAGCACAGGGAGGAATCTTATCATTTAATGAAAAGAGCCTATTTGGAGACAGAGATTGTACAGGTGAAAATTCCCAGGGATGAAAACTTCCCATTCTTCACCAGAGATTTATGGGAACGTCTTTGGTGTCTTCCTTTTCCTCGGTCTACAAACTTCGAGCCCTGGGCTCTTCAAGCCCTCTCCTTTCTCTCTCCCTCTTCCAGTTACCTTCAGCTAGAAATCTCCCTCTCCCCCATCCCTGGCCTGGGTGAAGGTAAAGGGAAGTGGCTTGAGGCAAGGTTTGCAGGAGGAGGGGACAAAGGTCCTATTTTCTGCCAAGGACCATGCTTCCAACTGAAGACAAGAACGCCTGCTTCATCACCAGCCCAGGAAGACCAAGCCAGGCCTTGAAATTTCTAGACCCTTTTCTCACCCAGGCCACATCTTCCACCAGGTCATGGACTGCAGCATGCCGCTGATTGGCGAACACCAGGTGGAGGACAGACAGCTCATCACTGAACTAGTCATCAGCAAGATGAACCAGCTGCTGTCGAGGACTCCTGTCCTGTCTCCTCAGAGGCCCTTAACCACCCAGCAGCCACAGGTAAGCAGCTGTGCAGAGACACAGGATAGCCAAGAGCCACTGTTCTGGACATTGGTGGTTCTAGAATGGAGCAGAGGTCAGATACCCACAGGCCTCGATAGGATCTAAGCAGTCTTCTCCCTCCTCCTTGTCTTCCTCTGGAGGGCCGCTTATAGGCCCTTATAGGCTTATAGGCCCTTATAGGGGCCTTCTCGTGAGCAGTGTGCAGTATCAGCTGTAGGACTGACAGTCATGGAGTACTAGATCTCTTCCCTCTGAACTTGAAGTCTTCAGGGAACCAGAGCTTGCATTCTCTGAGACTCAAGATGCTCCCTTTTTCAAAATGGGAGGTCTCTGAGGAGGAGCTGAATCAGATTGCTCACTAGCTGTTCACTGCTAAATTGGGTTTTTAAAAGAAAGTGGGGGTCTTTCTGAGAAATCTGGTGCAGAAAAAGAGAAGAGTCAGTTTCTTCCTTCTGGGAGAGCAACAAGGTGAAACTCAAAATTAAAGATCTCCTTTCCCTAAGGGAGAGGAGGTGGTGGCCTTGAGTTAATAGTGCCTAACTCAGGTCCAGTCACATCATGGTGACAGTATCCTAGCTGCAGGTCTACTAGGAAATCTACAGTGAAGTTTTTTGTGGAACATTAGGCCCTGTCGCTCTAGCATGTGCCAAGGAAAGGAAGATCCCTGGACCTGGAGTTCTTTGGTTCCACAAAGAAGGTATCTTATATTTCAAAAATATTCACAGTCTTCTCGCAACTGAACTTTTGTATAATGAATGGGGGAAATTCATTGCACTTGGGGCAATGAATCAAATAATTGAACCTGATCTAGCTTTTTCCCTAAAGAACTGTGTAATTATGGGGAGAAGCTATTAGTTCGGAGTGCTTTATGGATTTTATAAATTAGAATTTATAAATTAGAATTCTCTCAAAAATCTTTAAAATCCAACATCAAACGGTTAGGGAGGTAGAATATAATAGTGATTCAAAATATGGGCTTTGAAATGAGAATGAAACCCAGTTTGAATTCTAAACCCGGCATTTATTGGTGTTGTGACCTTGGACAAGGTCTTTATCTTTGGCTCAGGAATGATAATCACAGAACCAGTCTCATAGGGTTGTTAGGAGAATTAAATGATGTAAGGAACCTAAAACATGGCAAAGTAAAGCACCTGGTGAAGATCAGCTGTTGTCCTAGAAGAAAGTAGACTCTGGCCTTGGATCCCTGCAGCCTTAGGCCTGGAGATCATCGCTGCCGCTTCTGAAGATGGGGGCCTCACCAGATTAGGCTGCACTCAGAAGCAAATAGCTGGAATCTAGAAATCCTTCAGTAAGAAAGAAGAAAGGGCTGGCACCCTTACACTGGAAGAGGGAAGGAAAAAAACAAAACAACACAGCAATGTGGGTTATTTAGGGTAGAGGAAATTACCCCCGACATTTGAATATCACAGAATCAGAGCCTGCAAGTGTTGTTGATACTCATAATAATGAACCTGAGTCATTGGAAAGGGGAATGCTGACATTTTAGTGTTTCATATTCTTTTTAAGAAAACTAGAAACAAAATGTAGGAAATATTTCCAGAAAAGAATTGACTAAAATAAAACAGTGTGACAATTGGTAAGTCAGTTCCCTCTCTGAATCTGTTTCCCGTCATATGGGAAAACATAAGAACTATCTTTTCTGCTCTAAAAATATCTTTAGGGGCTGGGCATACAGAAGACTTATCTGTTATAGTTAAAGCTTTGTCCCAGGGTTTCATGAACTGACTTCCAGACCACTCACGTATAATTAAATCAAGCCTTTATTGAAGCACACCAGTGGTGGCTGACCAGAACATAAAGCTGTTCCCCTGATGAGCCCCGAACAATTGCAAGGGCACTCCTTATAAGCCTGAAAGCCGCAAAAGGGATGTTCAGGGGGTCTAGCCAATTCAAGCAAGCCACGTTACAGAAGCGGGACAGTGCAGTCAAGCGGAGGGAAGCCTAATCAATCACAGTTAGCCCAGTCACCCCAGTTACAGAAACAGAGCCCCGTTACCCTAGTTACAGAAACAATACCCCATTAGGTAGTTTTGTGTTCTTAAAGGTTTCTATAGCAAAAGGAAAAGAACATCTTTTCCCAGTCATGACTCTTCTACTTGGCATAGTTGTTTTACAGGATGAAGTCATAAAACAAAATGGAGTCACATTTGCTCCTACTATCACGATCTATCATGCAACAAGATTCTGGGTTCCATTCCCAGCACACCACCACCAACAACAACAAAACAATAAAAATGTCTTGAGTAGAATACTTCTGTCCTTATGGATTCTGGATAAATGGAAACTCTGGGCTAACAGATAGCAACTCTCGAGTAGCCATGTTGAGAGTAGCCTTGTACAGTGGGCTCCTACCACTTGATACATAAGGTGAGGGTTTTACACCTTCTTTAGCTGATGCACACTGGATCAGACCTCTGACCAGATGGGAGAATCTGTTCCTGGGGCTGAGGCTATAACTCAGTGATACAGTGTGGCTTAGCATCATGCACAAGGCCCTGAGTTTGATCCCCAACATCACTAAATAGATAGGTGGGTGGGTAGTAGGTAGGTAGGTAGAGGGGTGGGTAGTTAGATATTGAAAAATATTTTCATGATTTAAAACATATCAGGCCTGTAACTAGATTTTTTAACTTTGTAAATGTGATGAAATAAAGATACTTGGGTACTTGTTCTGTCTTTTAGTCCACAATAGGCCTTAGTCAATAGTTAGAAATATCCTGTTAATCAGATTATTGCTTGTTCCTGCCCTAGAGAAAAAGTGACACATACAGTTGGCCTTCCCTATCTGTACATTCCATATCTGCAAATTCAGCCAACTGCCTATCAGAAATGCATTTAGGTCTATGGTGGTTGCCTCAAAAAACATAAAAGTTCAGTGTCTTTTACCTCAAAGAAAGCATTAGCTCTTCTTTGGTATAAGCCCCTTAAATTAGTCCATCTTGTGTTACTAAAATGAAATACCTGAGGCAGGCTACTTTATAAAGAAGAAAGGTTTATTTTAACTCACAGTTCTGGAGGTTCAAGGACAAGGGGCTACGTCTGATAGTGGCCTTGTTGCTAGCAGAGTCTTGAGGCAACATTAAGCATCACATAGCAAGAGATGGGGAGCACATGTATTTCTGTGTCTCTTATTTTTTTTTTTTTTCATAGTCACTGGGATTTAGTTCTGTGGGCTCCACTCTGATGACCTTATCTAATCTTAATTAAAAAAAAAAAAACTCTAAACACCAGTCAGATTATTTCTACCCTCTTAATATTTTACAATGGGGATTAAATTTTAGCACATGAACCCTGAAGGAATATTCAAAGTACCTATCCACACTATAGCATCCCTTATTTTATAAAGTTTAAATATTGCAACTTAAACATTTCTAAAGAAAAATATATCTCAAAGTGCAGGCAGAGGGCAGGGAATGTGGCTCAAGTGGTAACGTGCTTACCTGGCATGCGCGGGGCTCTGGGTTCAATCCTCAGCACCACATAAAAAATAATAATAATAATAAAAATAAAATAAAGATGTTGTATCCACCGAAAACTAAAAAAAAAAAAAGCGCAGGCAGAAAACCAAAAGGAATAAGCTTCCCTAAATATATGGGCTCCTGCAGAAATCCCTAGTAGTGAAGTCAGTCTGACTCAAGGATGAGCTTTTCTCTGTTTGTTCTCCCATTACCACTGGATATTGTAGAAAGCTCCCTGTGCTGGGAGTCAGGAGACTCCCAAGGTCCCTTGTGACCTTGGACAAGTTACTTTCCATTTCTGGACATTTCTTTCCTCACCGATGAAATGGAGTTGAGTTAGATGATTTCTAGATCTCTTTCAATTCTAAAGTCATGTAATAGCTGGAGCTAGGTAGGTACACTGCAGACTGTGAAGGCAGAGTTCCCCAGGAGATTGCTCTCCCTTCTAACATCAGCCAAAATTCAGAAGTTCCCCAAACTGCCCCAGGTTCGACAGCTCTCTGGAAGAACTCACAGAGCTCACTGAACCCTGTTGTACTCACAGTCACGGTGGATTGTGGGGAAAGGACACAGGTCAATAGTAAGTCAAAGGAAGATGCCCAGGGCAGAATCTGGGAAAGTTCAAAACTCAAAGCTTCCATTATCCTTAGGATGTGTTACCCTCACAGCGTCAGCGTGTGACCATACCCATGACGTATTGCCAACCAGGGATGCTCACCTGCACTTCAGAGTTTAGAGTTATTATGGGGCTTCATTACTACATCATGATGGACTGACTGGTCATCCTGTTGAACTCAGTCTCCGGCTCCCTGTTCCCTGGAGATCAGGCTAATGCCATGTGGCTTAGGGAACTTACCATGAATAACAAAGACACTCCTGCCACTCAGGAAATTCCAGGAGTTTAGAGGTCACTTCCTGAGAGCCTGGCATAAAGGCTAAGACCTCTTTAAGGGCAAGGCCACACTATCAGGTTAATAAGGGCAAGCACACACTATCAGGTTAGTATCACGGATGTCTCAGATACTTGCAGCCCCTTGTGGGCACAAACCTTGCCTATTCCTCTGTTTCCACTAACCAACACAGGCCTGGCCCAGAGTGTGTGCGGAAGTTAGCTCATAGCCTCAGGACTCCAGTGAAGAAGGAGATATTGTTCCCGTCCAAAAGTTGTTTAGATTCTAAGTTGAAATCATGACTGAATTCACGGGCCATCAAATGGTGTCTTGTATCTTCTTTTAGCTTCCTCCTAAGCTTGTGACAGCACATTGTTTACGGTTGAGGAGACATTTCAGTTACCCTGGGTGCAGGCCCTTGGGTCTCTCAGACTAGATGGCCTTGTTCCTGCAGTCACTTCCCACTTTTCTGAATCTTTATCTACGTGAATCTGCTTCACAGCCCCCCTTCCACCTGTCATCTAGTCCATTTTGTGTTACTAAAATGAAATAGCTGAGGCAGGCTACTTTATAAAGAAGAAAGGTTTATTTTAACTCACAATTCTAGAGGTTCAAGGACAAGGGGCTG